CTTAAAATATTGAATTTTCGATATATCGATGATTATAAATATATCTGATATTTTAAAAAATATCAACAGTCCTAGTTTGAACTGATCAGTTGGAATGATCAGTTGAACTGACCATGTGTGTCGTCCATTACCCTTCAAATTGAAACAGAGCAGTAGGTGCTTGTTCTAAGGATGATAAGGTCTCACTGATAATCAGTGGATTTACCATCTCGTTTTATATTTTATATATATTTAAAGCAAAACATTTAATTATTTTCACATAAATTCACTTAAAATTATATGTAATTAAAAAAAATTATTACAAAATGTGAAGCAACGCACTCGCGGACGCAAAAGCAAACACTCAAAAATTCTTTCTCTATCACTGTGCCACGGATCTTGGACCAACATCCATTAGATATTGCAACAATCTTGCGATTATATACTATAATAAAAGCATCAGTGTTTTCGTTTTCACAGAAAAATTTGCATTAATCTGCTGTAATAATACTAAATTGTGGGTGTTAAAATTCTGTGACTTTACACATAATACTTGTTTTTATTTTGACGTATCTTAATGTAAAATGTATAAATTCGCTTAAAATATGAGTAAGAGTGTTATCACACCAATCGATCGATCGTCGATCGATAGCATCAATCGATGGTGGAATGGATTAGTCGACGTCGATCGATCGACGTTAGAATGGATTAATCGAAGTCGATCGAACTGCTTGATTATTCAAGAACCCGCCCCGCTCCACCGACCGCTATTTTTTATTTTATAGGATAGGATGACAAACGAGCACACAGTCCACCTGATGGTAAGTGGTTGCTGAGGCCCATAGACATCTACATCTATCCTTGTTTGCGAATCAAAATGCAGATGCGTTGTCAGCCTTGAGGACTAAGATGGAATGCCTCGTTTCCAGTAAAAAGGGTCTCCGGTTCTCTACACTCACCATACGAAACACAGCAGCATTAAGCTTCTATTTGACGCTGGTATTCTGTGAGAGCGTAGTCCTTCCCCGGTCGAGCCGATCCATTCGTGCTACAACTATACTATTAATATAACTGCAGCATGGCTCTACCACGTGTTAAAAAGGCAAGTCGTTATTTAAAAAGTCGTCTAGATGAAATAAGCTATTTCTGGCCATAAAAACGGTCGCATCTAGAATTTTATGCGTTTGCGTCTCTCTAATAATCTGTTAAATTCTGAATACATTTTGAAAGATACTGATAATAAGCCCACAACCACATCGACTAATTGTCGATTGATCGACGTCTATCGACAATGGAACGTTTTATCGACCAGTATGCGTTGATCAGCTAATGCTACCACACCAATCTATCGACATCGATCGACGATCGGTCGATTGGTGTGGTAACACACTAATGAAAACCTGCTTTTCAAGGAATTATTGCCATTTAGTATTGTATGTATTTAGAATAGATAAAGTGTATTAGAATCGATTAATATCAGTGCGATATTTGTAAAAAGTCCATTTTGTTACTTATTCGTGCAAGATAAAGATAACTGTATACTGTTGCATGCAAACGAGTTGACAAAATAAGTGGTCGTAGAATTTTTATGCGTCAGTTCTTTAAGTCTCTACAAGGGGAATGGACCCTTTGAAATATATCAACACTACATATTTGGAACACATATATTAACCCTTACTGATTCTAGTCAAAGAAATGACCTTATTTTGTATTTCAAGCAAACACGGCGAATTAATAATGTATAGGAGTGAAAATTGCAAATATAAAATAAGTATTACAAAATGCTCATTTCCTTTGTGTTCAGTTTGAACCTACCTAACGATGCAGCCTATATGCACGGCCAACAGCTGGACACAGACCTTCACTAATTTCCAAAAGAGTTACGAAGCAATTACAAATAGTGACAAACGAGCACACAGTCCACTTGATTGTAAGTGGATGCTGTGGCCAATTGACATCTACATTTATCCTAGATTAAAAATCAAAATGCAAATGCGTTGTCATCCCTGAGGTCTAAGATGGAATGCCTCGTTTCCAGTAAAAAGGAAATCACCATACGAAATACAGCAGCATTGAGCTGGTATTCCGTGAGAGCTTAGTCTATACATAACATAGTTGCAGCTTGGCTCTACAACGTATAAACGAGGACATGTGATGTTGATGGTCATCACGTCCTCGAAATATTTTAATCTTCAGTCATGGATGTCTCCTCAAGATGTTTTCCTTCATCGCCGAGCATATGGCAAATCAGGATTAAAAATATAATAAATAATTTCATCGTCGGTAGCAGAAATCTAACCCGGGTAGCTCGCGGAATTTGAAATTTACAGCGAGCTCTTAGCTTCTATGGTAGTTCAAACTACATAAAAATGAGTTTGAAAACATCCACAGAAACAAATATCGGGGAAGGTCTTCGCGCAGACGCGAGCACTGAGTATAAAAATAAAACAAATCACAAAACCAGTTGTATTGTTCTTTCGCAAGGGACCACCTCAGTCCGCCACCGTGATAAGAACAAGTCGATTCTATCGATTCTTACACGTGTTTTAAACAATGAACTGCAATTTGTTCATTTCTATAACTATGAAAAACGCTAACAATGTTATAATAAATGCATAGGTAGAATAATTTATGATCATTGACAAGTGATAACAGATATTAATAAGTAGTAAGTACACTTGATTCGCTTAGAAAGCGAATTGAGTGGCTAGACCAAAAAAAGCCCAATTCAACGTTGAGGTGAGCACAACATGACACCCAACTCATTGAGTTAGTGAAAGTGAGGCAAAGCAATTGATATTATTAAACAGTTTGCATTATATGTTCTCGCGTCGAAAAAACATTAAAATGTGAATTTCATTCCTTCTTATTCCAAATACGGTTCCTGTTAAATTCAAAAGTGAAATAAATATTCAAAATTGATGGTAGAAAATGTAAATAGATACAGACAGCGTCATGGCGGCACTGATGTTCAATTTCACTACCATAATTCAACTTTTATAAGCACACAGATCGCAAACATTCTTTATATAAACCAGGTGTTTTCCGTCTTTCACGTCACTAATTATCACACAGCACTGAACCATATTTCATAGATATTTTAACCGCAAACATGTTAAACCCGGTCGATACACAAAAGCAACTATTTTAATTATCGGACCCAACAATGTTTTATCTTTTTACTTAATCAGTTGTGCTCCATCAGAATCTTACTCAATTACATATCTCTTAATGAAAAAACGTAATATCAATATAATTAGCTGATAAAAAAAATTCCTTATCATAATATAGACACTGTTTATATTAAGGGGAGTTATTTTAATAAGTTTTTGCGTATGCTTTTCTCAAGTAGGAGCATAATGAAAGACTTATGAAAGTAAGCAAAATATTTCGATACGAAGGCGTTTGTTTGTTTCATGGACCGCTTACATTCATGTGTTACAATAGAAATGTTGACGATCGTTGTGAACAACACGCCTGTTTTCGGAACAGTGGACTTACACGAAACAAAAGTTGCCGACTTCATGAACATAATTACACTTGATGTAAAAATCAATTTTGCTCAAATAAAAGTAAAAGCAAATAATGATGTTAATGGATTATTATATGATTATTGCAATTCTCAACTAGTGCCACTGCCCTGAACTATGAGTTCATATGAACTAAACAATCAGACCGTTAAGGAGCAACATTTCTGTATCTACATGATAAAGGAGATTTAAAATGATGAAACACTAAATTGTGTAAATAAATATTAGCGAAAAAAATTGTACGTATTGTAAAGTCTAGCCAGGTACAATAAGACAGAGTCACAGCAAATCTTTTACTATAACTATTGCAAATTCTTAACTATACATATTTTGTTGAATTTAATATTTACGCCTAAACGTATAAGAACAATTGAAATGTAAGTGTGATTATGAACAGACGCTTATTATTGTGCAACTAAGGCTACTCTAGCCTTCAAGGTTGATCAGTGAAACCGACACCAGCGCGTCCGCGTAACTTGCTTCAGACGGCCATGCTTCCTGCGTTCTACCGTGTTTTGCTTTATTTTCAATACATTATTTAAAGTATTGCATGTGCCGTTGTACAAATATGCACGCAGTATGTTAACGCATTACTGCGAATGGTCAAGTTTGTTCAGCATTTCCACTTAAATCAACATACACTTAATTAAAGAGCGAGATTATGTATGCAGAATTAGGAGGCATTTAAGTCATGCATAAAGTTAACGCGGCTAGGAAGTTAAAATACGTGACACCTCAACGTGTATTATCAACAGAGCGGTAGCGAGTAGCAACCAAAATATAATATCAATTAAAATTCAAATTGACGTAAATGCCCGCATAAGAAAAACAAAGCGTTCATTATTTTGTATGTAAAGTTATATGCGTGTGTCCTAATTATTCATGAAGAGGATTGAGGAAGCGTACGAAATCACGAACATGAGACGTCGAAAAATTCAAAGCACAATCGCTTCCGATCAGTTGTTGATTAAAGTTTTTCGTGTCACCTTCATGGCTTACTTCCTGAGACGACTTCCAATCGCCAAACCGACGAGAGGAAGACTCAACCGACATCGGTGCAGCGACCGATCGCGCAAATGTAGCCTTGGACGCGAGCTCCCTGCATTCTAATCGAACGGCCTTGCGGAAGCGTGTGTCTCCAAACTGTTCTCGTAACATGTATCAGCTGGCGCCTTATCAAGCCCTTACAACGGAACTCTTTCCATACGTACACAAACTTAATTCGACATAAGACAATAATGATAACATAATATAAGGGATAAATATAATGTACATATAATCCATAACGTCATTGGGATTAATTAGCACAAATCTGTGGTTCGCCACGGGTTGTGAGATAGTAGTAACCAGTTCCACTCGCTGAACGGGTTGCCTTTGGTTAAATGGACCGATGTGGTTTGTCGTATGGATATGCTTTAATGCAACATTATTTCGCTTCGTTTCAGAAATTATTAATTAAATATTATTCAAAATGACATTAATTATACTTACGGCATCGTATTGAGTTTTATGTAAGTGTCATGAGGCAATGGTTCCAAGCTTTTTGTGTTAATATTTGTAGCAGATAGCCGCCGTGCTGTTCTCATCCAACTTCCCCTTTGCCGTCGAAAACCTTTATCATTTTTTAATAATTGAAGATGCCGTTTTACTATGTCATGCCACTTCCATTTAACCGTTGCTGGAGAATCACTGGCCGCATCTTCTTTACATATCTGCAGGCTATCACTAAACCGTCTCATGTTTTGAAGATAAATTTCATTTGATTTCGGCGGAAGACTTTTTCTTCGCTCATCCGGTATGATACCAGAATCTTGCGAATTTTGCTCGGCTATCCATTTAGATATAAAATCGTTTTTATCACAGGCAATTACTGGTTCGTCCTTTGGCGATGGTGGAATCCAATCTAGACTCACCCACTGACTAGATTTTGGTTTAGATTTAAAAATCACATCGATGTCATCGTCACCATCAGAAGAGCCAATCGAACAAACGGATGTTTTTTTCCGTCGAAAGCGGGATCGAACAATAGGTTTACAAGACGATAATGACTCGGGACTTCCGCATTCTGTATTGTCCTCTTTTCTTACATCCAGTAAACTCTTTATGGTTTCAATATTTACGTAAGAGTTTTCGGAGCATGAAGAGTCAACACTAAACCTAGGAGTACTTCTGTGTGAAGGTCTGGACCTGATCATAAATTCTTCATTATAATTTTCAGTTATTCCACAACTTATTTCTCGTTCATTCGTCAGAGATATTCTCCTTTCATTCGACTTCTCATTTTCTAATTCTATTATCTTTGCCATACTGGGAAATGAATTTTCTTTTCCTACTTCTATTATCCTAGGTAATCTTTGCGGGTTTTCCTTATCGAGATCACAATTACTTGTAAGGGCGGAAAAAGAATGTTCTTTACTTAACTCTATAATTCTAGTAATTCGTTGCGGCATTTCAGCATCTCTTTCCGATGATACTGACAATGGCATGTTGTTATTTTCGAATTCAATTATCCTAGTTATCCTCTGAAGGGTTTCTTTTTCAGTTTCAGAGGTTTCAGTGTTAAAATCGTCTAACTCTATAATTCTCGTTATTCTTTGAGGATAAATATCCCCACCAGTTTCTCTTAGAGGGCACGGTTTAAAATATTCTTTTCCTAATTTTTTTTGGCACTCTTCAGATTCTATATTATTGGTACAACTAGACAGTGCTTTAATATTTAATTCTTTTTTGGCAGATGACGGCGTATTACAATCTTCAAATATTATTTTTTCTTCCAGTGAATTACTACGGCTTTTCGCTTTTTGAAGTGCACTTTCAGAAAGAAAAACGCAAGGTACCTCAACTTGCATCGACATCTTTCGTCGCCTTGTAGTGTTTTCCTTCTCTTTATTGATGTCATTGTCAATGTTCTCAGGGACAGCCGTATGTGGTAAAATGATAGGAGTCCCGGACACCATACGTAAAAAGTCTGTTACGGCAGCTATATGTGCACCCGTAACGGCACCTTGTAACTTAACACCCGATACTTGGTGAGGCACTAATTGGTTATCGCGTATACACCATACTACGGGCAGAGCCCCTTCCGACACCATCGTCGTGTTGCCTCAAAAAGCGTTTAAACGTGTATTATAGGGAATAGTTTATAAATCAAATCAAAGCACTGTAATGTAATCGATTCACTGGCTCATTTTCGGGCTACGGCCTACACTTTTAGAGCTATAATCGTACAAGTTTACAATCACATAAATGAACCGACGGTAGGGCGACATAGCGCGAATGCGGCGCGGGCGCGGACAAGGCGGAGCGCGGCGAACGTGCGCGTCCGGCGGAGGTCGCGAGAGATAAGACGGTGAGAGCCGCACGCGCACGGCCGCCGCTCTCGTCCCGCTACCACCACCGCACCGCGCCATCTTCTACGATCATACATCAACATCCATCTCATGCTGTTCATAGCACCGGCGAATTATGTAACGGCATAATTGACCTATTAACCCGTTACACATTGTCCCGAATCTAATTTGTTTTTTTTTTTTACTTTACACAACGTTAAAAATTTACTTCGTTTAAACTTATCTTTCCGAATTAATAAGATTATAACATAGTCCAATTGTCTTAATTAAAAGTACATGTAATCACGGTTGTCGGTACGTTTCTTTATTTACAACTTCATTTTCATAAAACTAGCATACAGTACTTCAAATTTTTGGTTCACTGTTTTTGTTTTTCTGTTGCACCAACTTAACAGCTACGACTAAAATTAGTATAACATTCACCTTACCTTGAGAACGTTAATTAATGGGTGCGTTTGGCAGAAAAAAGCGCTAGCAAGCGCTTACAAGTGCTGAAGTAGTTTTCGGCCAGGACACGATTACTACTTCAGTAGCGCTGACACAATCCGCCATTTTGCTTATTTAATTTGTTTGTTTTGAAGTAGAGTTTATAAGTTGTTTTGTGCAATATTAGTTTTAAGTAATATAATAACGTGAATAAACATATACATGTTATTAAAAATTCATGATTGGTAAGTTTTTAATATGAATACTTTACAAACATATATTTAAATGAGGTTAGGTTCCCCGGTTAAAACTAACATCGTGTCCTGGAGGAAAATAGCTACTTACGATTTGACAGCGCTTACCGCTTACGATCGCCATGTTGCTTACAAGCGCTTGCTAGCGCTTTTTTTTGCCAAACGCACCCAAAATATGTATAACTATTAACGGCCATTTAGATTCAGCATTAGCGATAACTTATAAAAATACAATGTATTATTTACCAATAATAAAGTTCTTAGCTGCATCTTATTAGATAGTTTTAAGTGAAGTTCTTTAGTCCGTCAAAGATGTAAATAAACTTATCCTCGGGTCACCCCGTCGAATGCAGTTGAAGAGCTGTGTCCTTCTATTCGTGTCAGGGCGGTCTATCATTTGAACAACAACGGCGGAATACCGTAAGCTTTACGCAGTGTTTAAATACGCACGCGACTATGCAGCAGTCAAAAGGTATTTACCATCAATTGAATTTTGCTAACAATCAATCGTTCAATTGGCTTAAATGCTTCAATGATCAGTATATCAATGTAACAACTTCTTTGTGTGTAAACATGTATTTTAAAAGAAGAATAGCAATTTTGTGTTTTATGTCCCAGGTAGGTGCCCTATATGAAAAATTCAACAAATAGATATCACCCTAAATTGTTTTTTGATATTCTTTTTTACCTTTATTGAAAAATTGATTTACGCTTAATGCTAAGAAAACAAGACCTAGTCAGTTATCAGTTTAGTTTATTAGTGACTAAGAGACTGAAAATAAAAAAAAGTATTTTGCGTCGGTCGTTAAGTGATTTTTTTATATAGGACAAAGGTGACAAACGAGCACACAATCCACCTGATGGTAAGTGGTTGCTGCCTATCCTTGATTATGAATCAAAATGCAGATGCGTTGTCACCCGTGAGGACTAAGATGGAATGCCTCGTTTGCAGTAAAATTGGTTTCCAGTTCTCTACAATCACCATTTGATGCGCAACATGAAACACAGCAGTGTTAAGTTGCTATATTACGTTGGTATTTGTGAGAAGTGACCCATTCGTGCTACAACCATTCTACTAATATAATTGCAGCATGGCTCTACAACGAATGTTGCTAGCGGCAAAAATAAACACATTTTATTAAACGACATTACAATGATTAAACGACTGAGTATAATCTCACATCACAAGAACATTACTCGTAACGTATTAAATACAAACATATGCACAAATGCCAATCAACAGTTAGTCATGGCGCCGGTACAGGTTGCGATGCGCAACCCGTATCTGGGACGAACAAATTAGGTATTAATTATCCATACAAACCTAACCAACATAAAGCAATACCTAAGCACAGGTCTAGTTAAAATTATTGTATTGCAGAAGACTTGAGAGAGCCGTGGTAGCTCAGATGGTTAGCGCTGGCTGTAAATTTCAAAGTACGCTAGCAATCCTGGTTCGTTTCCTGCCGGCATCAATGAAATTGTTAATTGCAATTTTAAGTGCTGATTTACCACGTGCTCGGCGTGAAGGAGATATCGTGAGGAAACTTGCATGTCTGAGAAATATGAAAATAAAATTTTCGAAGATATGTGAAGTTTCCCTACACGTATTGGGGCAGCGTTGCGGACATTTCTTTTCCCTTAAAAACTCTCAAAAATGAGAGGCGGCTTTGCCCAGCAGTGGAACGTATATAGGCAGTAACTTTAGCTTTTAATTTTAGAAGACTTAAATGTAAAAATTTGCTTGACAAATGTACAATATAATGTCCTTAATATATTATAGTCCAATAATAAAACTGTTACACAATCCTCAATCCAGGACTAACATGGGCTGATACGCCGGTACATGGGCAGTACCGACTCAAGTGGAATACTGTTCTCATCTCTGAACAGCATGCTTGTTTGCTCCTTCTTCCATAAAAAAATATGACACCTATAGTTCATTTTGTGGTGTGTTGCCTAATGCAGATATTTTTCAAGATATTTGCCCTAAATATAGGAAAAATGTTAAAGACCACTAGCATAAACGTATATTTCAATATCTACGTGTCTAAATATATTAAGCTGCTACTTATGTTTAAACTATCATAATTATATATTATCTTTAAGTATTATTGTTCTGCGACTAATTACTTCATTAGCTACTGTAACTTTCTTTAATTTAATAGTACACTGTTAAGCTATGTCACGTATTGTTGATCGAAGTACGAGTATGTCACCTATAAAGGTGCACACGTCAGTTTTTGGATATAAGACGACTTATGATAAGAATGTAATAAATATGTGTGCTGCTGGTATCCAATGAATAAATAAATAAAATTAAAAAAAGTTACAAAAATTTATGTTATAAATATGTATTATGATTAGTGATTGATTTTGGTAACTGATGTGTTATTTGGTTATTACCATTGAGGAACAAGAAGAAAATACCTTTTTTTAGAACTGTAAGCATCATTTTATTATTCCATCGAATTTTTTTATTTCATAAGTAAGAAGTACAGTGCTTTGTGTTCTACTATTGTATCAGGACAGTAAAAATGTTGAGTGAACCACTCTCTTAAGCAGCAGGAACTGATTAAGGGCATGTCCTGTCCTGTGTGTTGGTAGGAAGCACCTATCATTAGGTCTTGTTTTTAGTAAATCGCGACATAGTCCTAGGAGAAATCTCTAATACAATAATTTTTGTTTCTTTATAGGCCAATTTAGCGTTGACGGCATACACAGCCCATCTGATTTATTTAGTAGTCTAATAGCATAGAGTCGTGGTAGCTCAGATGGTTAGCGCTCGCTGTAAATTTCACAGTACGCGAGCAAACCGGGTTCGATCCCCTCCGGTACCAATGAAATCGTTAATTGCAATTTTAAGTGCTATTTTACCACGTGCTCAGCTCTGAAGAAAAACATCGTGAGAAAACCTGCATGTCAGAGAAATAACAAAAAAAATATATATTTCGAAGACATGTGAAGTTCGCCAACACGCATTGGGGCAGCGCGGCGGACAATTCCTTGCCCTAAAAACCCCTCAGAAATGGGCGGAGGCCTGTGCTCAGCAGTGGGACGTATATAGGCTGTTCTTCACTTTACTTTTACTTTACTAATAGCATAAGGTCGATCCAATAATTTATGAATTATTGCAGAGGAATTTTTGATGTACTTGCTGACAGTGCGATACACAAATATACCTGCCTGCTTTTAAAGCGGTTTAAAAATGACTGATGGCCCTATATCCACTTTATGCAAAACAATCACCGCAATTTTGTTTTCTTTACGCTCATTCCATAATGTAACTATTCCATAATGCGCAGAAAATAATATGCGAAATGGCGACAAATCAATCAAGATTTCTTATACTTATACCAAACGCATTCTCCCAACAGAAAGGAAAGGAACATTTTAACTTTCTTCCAATTGCCCACCTCACTTGTACGCGACACACCAGCTGATTTACAGACCGGCTGATGGTCCAAAATCTCCGAAACTAGATTTATAAAACTGGTGATGGGGAACAGCACCTATACGAAGGTATTAGCTTGGTTGGATGGTGGGTGCAGGGCAAGTGCAGTCGAACCCACCTTCCAACCTCCCATGCTGAAAGTGAGGCGAGTATCATTAATCTTTAAAGAAATGCATGACAGTTTACAACCAGTAAAGTAATATATAGCGTAGTGGATTCAAAAACGTTGATGAAGATGATGCTAAATAATTAAGTAGTGTCAACGCGACTACGTGTAATTTTATTGTTTCATTGTATTATTTTACGCAAGAGTCCCAAAACAGCACAGTCACGTTTTTAGAAACGTCCTTTTTTAGATATTTAAAACAACAAATTTGATTTTATAATATTGTCGCAACTTCCAATCACACGATGATTATGAAGTCAGATGGCATAATAATAACCAATTTAAAGATTTGATTAGATAATCTAAGAGACTTAGCTCAATACAACGGAGGCGTGCGTTATATTAGCGCTGATGACGCGAGGCGATGACCTCCAATATCATAGTTGTCTCGCAGCTTCAAAGAATAACTTTCTGTTTAGCAGAATTTTGGGGAAGTCCGCGAGGAGGAAAATATATGTTTAATTAAGTTCACGTCATTAAAATTTTCAGAATACGTAATCATGCATACGCCTAAGTGAGTTACAGAAGAACCTGTATAGTTTTTTCGTAGCATAAATTTATATATTTAACGAAACCATGTAAAAACTAAGAACTTATTATATTTTATACATATATTTAATTGGGATGTAACGATACATAATTTAGGCGAAACGTTATATATAATAATAATTATAATGAAGTGTGTCCACACCTACATTATAAACCATATCATGGTAATGTTTTTAGGTGTTTGTATGTATTTCTATAATGCAATAATAAT